ATTTAAGGCTGATTCTTTCCTTATTTGAAAGTCAACCTCCCACCCAGCGATGGGAAGCATCTACCCATCGATGGGTAGGTAACCGTTGGCTTCAAAACTGAAGGAAAATTGGCTTACCAGCGATGGGTAAGTTCCAAACATCGATGGGAAGCCAATATCCTGCAGATCCCAAATTTATTCAATCCCATAAATCAAGCCAATCACCCCATTAATGTATTGGTCCGTTGGAGCCTATTTTGGCACTATAAAAAGGGGTGTTTGGGTCTGCTTTTTTCATCAATTCACTTCACTTTATTCATATTATCATTGCATCCAAACAACATTATTTTCCATAGCTTTCTAGAGCCAATTTGTGAAGTTTGAGTTGTTCTTGAGCGTATATAGTTTACTCAACATCTACTCTTAAAGCGAGTATTGTTTTTGAGTGTCTTAGTGTTGTATACACGTTAAGGGAAGCTTGTTTCCCTTGGTTGTACGAAGGAAAGGTATTTTCCTTCGGGTTGAAGTCTTGGAGTGCGGTATCTCCGAGCAAGTGTTGTTGAGGCTCGTGGGACTCGAGTTCTCAGGTTGTAACGGTTTGTTAAGCACCCGTAAGCTTAACGGAAGTAGTGTAGCTCGAGAGAGTCTCTCGGGAGGCTAGATTAGCCACAAGTTATTCCGCTCTTTACTTTATCCCTGCGATTTTTATTCCGCGAAAATTTATAAACATTCTCGTGCCTCACTATTCACCCCCCCTCTAGTGAAGGGCACTTATTCTAACACGCCGAATACGAATCCTTCAAGAAAGGACCATGTGAGACAATCCAAGATATGAACAAGAGGTTCAATGAGATTGTCAACAAATTGAGTAAGTTGGGTAAGACGTATACTACTTCCGAGCTTAATACGAAAATTCTGTTTTCTTTACCTAAAGAATGGCATAGTAGTATAGTGGATTTATTACCCAAATGTGATAAGGCCGAAACCGCCCACATTTGGTCTTCCTTATATTCTCATGAGCTTTTGTTGAGAAAGATCAAAGAGGAAGAAATGCGTGAAAATCCCAAGCTTACCAACGCCTTCAAAGCTTCAAAAGACTCGTCTAGTGAAGAGTCAAGTGAATCAAGTGATGATTCAAGTGACTCAAGCTCTACAGAAGAGTCGGATGATGAAGAAGACGAAGAGAAGGAAATGAGAAAGAAGTATACGGATTTCCTCAAATGGAAGAAGTATGTGAAGAGGAAAGAAACGTATAAAAAGCCAAAGAAAGAGCGGAATAAGCCAAGGTAAATTCTTATCACTTATTGGGATAAGATATTATTTTGTTTGGTTTTAGTTATTTTTCAAAAATAAAACCTTATCCCATATGTGCTTTTATTTGTTTTAGCCTTGGTTTGCATGATTAAAATTTCTTAAAATTCATGCATTTTAGAAAATAATCCCCAAAAATCTCTGAAAAATAAAGTTTTTAAACTTGCATCATTGTAGGGGGAGTTTTCATTTTTAGGGGAAGTTTCGTTGTAAATGCACCTTTTGCCCAATGATCTCAAAACTATCATTTTTCCTAAAAATTCATTTTGATAGGGGGAGGGTTTCAAGAAGTTATACATGGCTAAAATTTTCAAAATACCCTTTTTGATTTTGACAAAAGGGGGAGAAGATGTATACTTCAAAGTGGTGCATATGCAACTTGACTTGAGTGCATTCTTGTGTAAACTTTTGAATCAAACTTAAACTTTTAATAAACACAAGAAAAAGTTCAAAGTGAGTATTTTCAATATGCTTGTTCTTAGGGGGAGCTTGCTTGCTTCAATATTTTACTCCCGCCTAACTCACTTTGAAGTATATTGTTTGTCAACATCAAAAAGGGGGAGATTGTTAGCCTTGGTTTGCTAAGCCTCATGTTTTGATGTTAACAAAAAATGTAAGAGCTTAACGTTTGTTTAAGTGTTTCAGGTAAAACAAGAATCCATTAAGATTCGGTACTCAAGAATGAAGTCGAAACACTAAACTAGCGTAGAATATAGGTAGAAACCGATGTAAGGATATGACTTTATATACATATATTCACAAGCTCAAAAGCACTCACAAAATATGTTTAAAACCATCCCATAAACATTTTCAAACATCTAAAAGGTTTTAAACTCAAACATGAAGGATTAAGGGAATTTTGGAAAAACTAGAACAGAGCCACGGTACCCCAAACGGTAGGGTATACCGCCTACACGGTACCCCATACCGTGTAACGGTACCTGGGTACCGATGGTAGGCAGAGACGGTTGGACCAACCCGTCCTAACCAGGTACCGCCAGAGCCGAATGGATTTTTAGTGGGACACGGTACCGAGGTGCCGCCACTCACGGTACCCCCCTACCGTAAGCACGGTACCATGATACCGTGTGGACGGCACCGGCCTACCATATCCGTTATCAGCACTGTAGCAAATTGCCAATTTAAATTTAAATCAACCCTAATCACCTCCCAACGGCTAATTAACATCTTCCACTATAAATACAAGCCTAATGCTTCATATTTCTTCAAGAAACAAAGCTCTAAACATCTTCTCTTTTTATTCTAAGTGTGTTCATCCTTTTATTAATTATTTTCAATATTTTGGCTATTTTAAGAGCCTTAAATTCCTGATTTTTATACACACACTTTGAGCTTGTGTTTCTAGTTATATACTCTCATATTCATAAGTTTGAATTGTATTTTTGAGAGAGTATACTTTCCTTCTACACCGGCTAAGTTTTGTTCTTCATTTTTATATTCAAGCCGTTGTGTAGAACTCTTGTTTGTGTTCTTCAAACACATCTTTATACGGTCGAGAATAGCCGTTAAATTCTCATATTGTATCGNATTTTTATACACACACTTTGAGCTTGTGTTTCTAGTTATATACTCTCATATTCATAAGTTTGAATTGTATTTTTGAGAGAGTATACTTTCCTTCTACACCGGCTAAGTTTTGTTCTTCATTTTTATATTCAAGCCGTTGTGTAGAACTCTTGTTTGTGTTCTTCAAACACATCTTTATACGGTCGAGAATAGCCGTTAAATTCTCATATTGTATCAGTCGAGGATAGCCGTATAAATTCTTGGGTAAAGGTTCAAGGATAGCCTTTGAAATCCTTGGGGGAACGGTAGAAGATAGCCGTTAAATCTTCATTGTAAACGGTTCGAGATAGCCGTGGTGAAATCTCGGAGTGAATCCTATTGGCAAGGGTTGTTTGCCAAACTAGTACGGTGCTTTGACGGAGTTTAAGAGACCGAGACTTAGTGGATTCGGAAATCCTTGAGGAGGAGCCTCGAGGTACTGGAGTAGGGAGTTCCCGAACCAGTATAAATTCGGTGTGCATTTTACTTTACGCTTTTATTTCTGCGTTTTATATATTGCTTCCGCATTTGCCAACACCGTTTTTATCAAACTCCGAAAAGATTTTAAACGCCTTATTCACCCCCCCTCTAAGGCGTGGGCACAACGCATAAACCAATTAACAGTCAGTGAGGAAAATTCTACGAAGTCTTACAAAGGAATGGGAGTCGAAGGTTAACTCCATTTACGAAGGCCGAGATTACAACGTCATCACATACGACGGTCTTCGAGGTAACCTTATCACTTACGAAACAAATCATCTTTCTCATACTCTTGACATTAAGAAGAGAACGGGAATTGCTTTTAAAGCATCTTCTTCTCAAAAAGTAGAGATTAATGATTCGGATTCGGATAGTGATAGAGATAGTGATTCTAGCACTTCCTGTGGTATTTTGGTTGAATTTTTAACGAGTTTTTGAAACATGAGCTAAACAAGAGCAAAAAGAAAAACACCCCAAAATGTTACAAGTGCGGAAAGCTTGGCCACCGAAAATTTGAGTGCCCGAAGCTCAAGAAGATGAGCAAACAAGATGAATTCGCGTATTTTTCGTGGAAGTATGATCAACCTTCCAAAGACGATTGCCACATCGCTCTTGAAGAACAAGATGGGTTGTCGGGCATGTGACACACTTGAAAGGTGTGCTTGAAGACTAAAAATTTGTAGTGGATGCTCCACGCACTTAACTAAAGAGATTGCATCAAAGGGGAGTAAATACTATTTTTTAATTAAATGTTATCTTTGAGATTTATTTGTGATAATTGTTATTTGGGGAATATACATAGGATGTTTTGCATATAGTAAGGGGGGAATTATTGCTATGTGTTAATCTTTTTGTATGCTTTATTTTTTAAGGGAAGATAGCATACTTTAAGTGGGAAGTATTTTATTTCCTAGAAATGCATTATTTTAGGGGGAATGTGATTTTTCTTAATTGTTTAGAAATATTTCTCTCTCTCTCCCCAGATTGCATGAGTTCTTTTGTTGCATTATTTTTGATAATGCCAAAAGGGGGAAGAGTATAGGAGTATATGCTTTAATTTGTTATTTGTTGGTAGCATATCCTCCATGTGTTTGTCATTATCAAAAAGGGGAAAATTGTTGGAATGCATGAGTTCAACCCTTTCTGTGTTGTTAAGGGTTGACTCATAGGTTTTGATAATTCACAAACAAAATTTATTCAAGTCAAGATCAAAGTGCTACAACGACAAACACAAAGACTTGAAGTGCCATTCCTTGAAGTATTCAAAAAGATGCACAGGATTTTATTGGAGTCCGAGACGCGTTCGGACGCCTAACGGAGGACTCGGAGGAGTAGAAGATTTCCGAAGACTTTTTATTTATTTGAGTCTTAGGAATTATTGTAAGGAAGACAAAAATATCTTTTCTCCTAAATTATTTTAAAATAAAAACTATATTTATTTTTGGAGTCAGTTGAAAAATCTTTTAACTGTTCAAAATACTTTTATTGAGTCAGTTTCAAAAGGAGTGTCAAACATTTATCAAAATTTTTATTTTGATATTAGAAAATATTTTTGGTAAGCAAAAATATTTTATTCAAATATTTTTCGTATACATCGTTTGACACACAATATTTTTAGAACACTATTTTTAGCAAAAATTCATTCTCATAATTCAAATTTGAATTTGAATTATTTTAACCTCCTTCCCCTGTCCTCAATGTCTCAAACAAATCATATAAACCAAATTGCCCTTCACCTCGCACACATGCTTGTGCTCTTCATGTCTGAGCATTATTGTTGCAATAATCAATTAATACCTTTGGAATTAATCGATTATCTAGTCCAGAATGAACTAATCGGTTAACACCTTTGGTATTAATCGATTATGGATTTCCGTGCACGGCTAATCGATTTTCTTCAGCTGCTTTAATCGATTTTTTGTGATGCATTAATCGATTATGGACACTGCATTAATCGATTTTTATGCTACATCTTTTCAGCACAGCTTCTTTTCTTGGACCAACGGATATATTTCTTCAGCTCCTATTTAAACACACTTCCTTGGTCATTTTTCATAACAAGAAACACTCCAATACTCCCCATTCTTGAGGTGTTAATCCTCTATCAATATTTCCTCAAATTTATATCATTTTGAGAGAAAACTTTTTGTTTTTTAATAGAGGTTTCTTGTCATCCATTAGAGCTAAACATTTTCTCATTTCTACTCTTTTGAGAGCTATTCTTGAGAGGTTGAAGAAGATTGTTCTTCTTGTTGTTCAAAACTTATGTGACTTAAGTCTTAGGTGTGAAGTCTTGTAGAGGGCATATCTATGAGCGGTTGTGTCGAGGCTTGTGGGATTCAAGTTCTCGAGTTGTAAACGGTTTGTTAAGTACCCGTAAGGTTAACGGAAGTAGTGGTAGCTTCAAGAGAGTCTCTCGGGGAACTGGACTAGCCACGAGGTGGTGAACCAGTATACATCAGTGTGTTCTTTGCCTTTTCTCTTTTATTTCCGCTGCACTTATGTTTATATTAATAATCCTGCGAAAATCAGTAATCGTTCTCAACAACTCTATTCACCCCCCTTTAGAGTTGCATGTCTTGTCTAACAAAAGGTTAATTCACCTATCATGCTCATCTCGAACTCTTTCTCCATTGTTTTTACAAATTCATCAGCCCTTGTTTTGGAAGTGGATCCAAACACAGTGTCATCCACATAAATTTGTGCAACCAGTAGATCTGAATTGTACCATATATAGAATATGGTGTTGTCTACTCCTCCTTATTTATACCCTTCCTTAATTAGATAGGATGTTAACCGTTCGTACCACGCTCTAGGTGTCTGCTTCAGTCCATATAATGCCTTGTGAAGTTTGTATACATAGTCTGGATGCTTGGAATCTTCAAACCCTTTTGGTTGTGCTACATACACTTCTTCCTTTAGATATCCATTTAGGAATGCAGTCTTGACATCCATTTGGTACAATTTCATGTCTAATACACACACCATGCTTATGAGCATGCGTATGGATTCAAGTCGTGCTACTAGAGCAAAGGTCTCCTCAAGGTCAATCCCCTCCATCTGTGTGTATCCTTGAGCAACTAGGCGAGCCTTGTTTCTGATGACATTCTTTGCTTCATCTGTTTTGTTTCTATATATCCATTTAGTGCCAATAACATTTGTGTTCTCTAGTTTTGGAACCAGTTCCCATACTTTATTCCTTTCGAACTGCTCTAGCTCCTCATGCATGGAATTTATCCATGCTTCTTCTGTCAGTGCTTCTTTGATATTTTTGGGCTCTAGAGATGATGTATAGTATGCTTTAGTCATCTCTAGGAAGTCAATCTTTTTCTTTCGTGTCTTCATACCTTCAGTAGGTGACCCTATGATGTTCTCTGGAGGGTGGTTTTTCTGAATATGTGTGGGAACACTACTGGTTATGGGACAGTCAGTTTGGGTTTCTTCAGGATCATCTTTCTCAATTTCTTCATGCCGAGTGTTTTCTTCAGGTGTCTTGTCAGAAGATTGTACCTCCAGTGGGTCATCTGCTGTCTTTGGATAGAGTTGGTCATCTACCACGACATTTATTGACTCCATGATAGTTCTTGTTCTTTTGTTGTATACACGATATGCCTTGCTGTTTGGTGAGTATCCAACAAAAATGGCCTCATCGCTCTTTGGCTCAAACTTCCCTTTCTATTCCCGATCTCTTAAGATGTAGCATCTTGCTCCAAAAATGTGAAAGTGGGCTATGCTTGGTGTTCTCCCTTTTCACAGTTCATAGGGTGTAGCCATTGTTCCACTTCTGAAGTATACACGGTTTATTGTGTAACATGCTGTATGAACTGCTTCAGCCCACAAACTTTGTGGTAGTCCATGTGTGTTAATCATTGTGCGTGCCATTTCTTGAACATGTCGATTTTCCCTTTCTACCACCCCGTTTTGTTTTGGCGTTTTGGGTGCTAAGAATTCGTGCCAGATGCCATGCAGATCACAAAATTTTTTGAAAGGCCCATTCTCGAACTCCCCTCCATGGTCACTGCGTATTTGAATGACCTTTTTTAACTTGAGTTGCTTCTCATTCTGGACTTTGTTGCATAGTGCTTCAAAGGCATGCAGTGCGTCATCTTTGTGTTTCAAAAAGCTAACCCATGTATACCTTGTGAAGTCATCCACAACCATGAGAACAAACCTTTTTCCACCTAGGCTTTCAGTTTGCATAGGACCAAATAGGTCAATATGTAGGAGCTCCAATGGATGACTTGTTGAACTTGTAGGTTTCTTTAGGTGGCTTGTTCGTGTTTGTTTTCCCTTTTGACATGGTCCACATACTTGTTCACTGATTTGTGTGATTTTTGTCATTCCTCGAACTGCTCCAGAGCTCGACAAGGTCTTCAAATCCTTGTAGTTCATGTGCCCAAGTCTATAGTGCCACAACTTGGCATCCCTCTCACTAGCTGTGTAATAGAGAATATTTGGAGTGACTCTGTAACAGTTTTAAGTAGTTCTGTCTCCCTCTAAGACAACAAGTTTGTTTCTGTCCTTGATACGACACTTTTGTTGAGTGAATACTACTTCAAGTCCTTGGTCACAGATTTGACTGATGCTCAAAAGATATACTTGCAGTCCTTGAACCAACCATGCATTTTTTATTGGTGGTAGTCTTGTGACGTGTAGTGTCCCATTTCCGATGATCTGTCCATGTGCACCGCCGCCAAAACGAACGTTTCCTCCTTCTATAGGTTGAATGTTTGCCAAGTTTTGTTTGTCTCCAGTCATGTGGTGAGAACACCCACTGTCAAGGAGCCATTGATCTGGTGTGACTCGAAGGCATGAGTTGGCGCTTGAAGCCAAGTGTTTTGGTATCCACTTCATCAAAGTTCTGGTAAACCCCTTTGTCGTAACCCTCTTCTTCTTTTTGTGTTTCAGCTTGTGACACTGTCTCTTCATATGCCCCTTTTTCCTGCAGTAGAAACAAATATAATTCCAGTAATAGTTAGAGAGAGAGTGTTTCCTTACATGATTGTGAATAGGCTGAACAGTTTCCTTCTTGTCTCTGTTATATTCTTCTTGTTCTTTATTAGCAATCTCTGATCTTTTTACAAACAAATCAAGTGGTGTTTTTGTAATGCCCCAAAAATAGGCCTATCAGAGTTAATTAATTTATAGTTAATTAATTACTGAGAAGGACCCAAAAATAAGTAAATTCTAAAGTTTGTCAATAAATAATGAAAATTATATCAATGTGTAGAGTTTGACTGTCTGACCCCAACGGTTCAATCGGATTTCAATTTGGAGAAAGTTGGACCAAAAAGTATACCCCGACTGGGACCAAATATTAGTCCCAATCAGGGACTACACACCAAACGGCGCCCTGTTCAGTTACGCCGATTCCAAATCGCCGCACAATCACGGAAGCAACCAAGCCTGTGTCTTCTTCTTCTCCACTGGCCTATTTAAGCACAACTCAACTCCCTCAATTCCTCACCAAAAACATTCATTCTTCCTCCTATATTGTTCCTTGCTGAGAGTAGAGTGCAGTGGTGTTGTCATCTTTGTGTGAGGTTGCCGGAGCAGTAAGATAGAGTCACCGGAAGTTTCGCCGGAAAATCGTCAAAACCTCCCTTACGCTTTGAGGTAAGCCCCTAGATATATCTAATGACTAGAATGTTCATATAGGTCGTTTCTACGTTCATAAATGGTCATTTGGTTGAGTTTTGTGTTTGACATGTTTGAAGAACCAAGAATCATAAACCTTGAATTTGATGTTAAAAATATGTTTTAATAATTCTAATATGATCTATGAACCTTGGAGAACATCTCTATATAGTTTAATTGAAGTTCGGTGACTAAAAATGGTTTTCCCAAAAAATGGACCGAGGTTGAAGACGAATGAACAGTGGCTGAAAATCCACAGAGTGGATCGATCC